AAAGTTAATGACAAAGTAAGAATATCTAAGTATAAACATATATTTAGTAAAGGATATACACCAAATTGGACAACGGAAATATTTACAGTTTCAAAAGTTTTACAGACAAATCCAGTAACTTATCAACTAAAGGATGAATCAGACAATATAATCTTAGGTGGTTTTTATGAACAGGAAATTAAATTAACTGATTTTCCAAACACCTTTCTCATTGAACGTATTGTAAAAAAAGTTGGGAATAAAATGCTTGTTAAATGGTTAGGTTTTGATTCGAGTCAAAATTCATGGATAACATCATCAGATATTTTAAAATAAAGATTTTTTTATGTATAATATTTTGTTAATTTTTTTTTTTAAATAAAATAAAAAAATTAAGTTTTTTTTAAGTCGAATTAATTATTTCACATGATCTCCTAATCCTCAATAGTCTGTTTGGTTAACCTAATGTATCCACAATCGATAAAAAAAAATAAAAAGCGACATCTAGTGGTAAATGAATCAATGAAAATAATAATAATACTGTTGTATTTTGTTCCGCTAGATAACGCTTTTTATAATAAACCATTTTACTTTGAGAAAAGCGGATAGCTCTATGAATTTTCGTTACTACAATACCATTCGCGATCGCCTGTTTCAAATTTTTATAATGAACTACATAGTTTTTTTTCGATGATAGTGTAGTGAGTAATTTTTTAACTTTCGAATTTGGTGGACATTCATTAAAAGGTAAAAATGGAAAATCGTTATGATTTTTATGAAGATGTTTAGGATACTCAATATCAACTTCTAATATATATCCAACTTTAGAATCATCAGCAATTTTGGTTACATCTATGTCGAGATCGTCAACCCATTCAAAATCTTTAAAAGGTAATTCTGTTTACATAGACTTCCCATACAAATTCACACAGTCGAGATATGTAATCCATGTGATCGGTTCATTCGAATTAAAGTCCAATCCTTCGATATTTGGTATGTTTGCTTTGACATACCTTTTAGTTGATTGGCAAATCCCGCCTCTAATTGACTTTTCGAAGAGGAGCAACATGTCATAATCCATGAGCCTTGATAATTTGACCTTGGTATACTTCAGCATACAGTCAAAAGCAAACCCGGGAGCAGTCATATAATGAGCAGGATCTAGTTCGAGAGTAGATAAACATAAGTCTCTAAAATTTTCGAACACGTCAGCTAGTATGACAACATCAGTTTTTAAATAAAGATCGCTATATTCAACCAATGTCTTTATATCAAATGTTTGCCATATATTTTCAGCATGTTTATAATCTTCATCACTAATTCCCTCGTCTGTTAAAGAGTTATAAAATTCTAGCTTTGATGGTAAAAAAGTATCATCTAGTTTACTCCAACTATCGACATATTCATAAGGGAAGACTCCTTTTCGTGTAACTAAATCTAGTGCTTTCGTAGAAAATATTTTAAGAGTTTCTCTAAATCTCGACTTATCTTCAGATAAATTTTCTGTAAGTTTACTTAATGACTCACTCATAAAACGGAATGTATCAACAAATTTTATACTAAATTTGTATGCGATTTCCTTGCTAAAAGATATATATTTTTCTGATGAACCGAGTTCCCGGATTATGAAATGACTATCATACGATAAATTATGAAAGAAAATTGGAATGAATGACGGATTAGTTATTTGAAATTTACATTCGAGACAAAGACATTGTCTATATTTACCAGTAAAATGACAGTGATCTCGAACTTTAATTAAATTATTTTTTTTTAAATGTTTTGAACATTTTTCACATCTTTTAATTCTTTGAAAATTTTTTTCTTCTTTTTCACTTAATTTATTCATTGGTGTATTAGTCTCGTAAAGTGTTTTGATATTATTTCCGATATCAATCATATTTTCCATAAATTTTTTAGCTGCATTTTCACCTCTATAAATAATCACCTTTCTAGGAATTTTAAACTGTTTTACTAGCTCTTTTGGTATAATATCATAGTTGACTTTTACATAAAACCCATAGCTCATAATTTCATGCAAATGTGTAACATGTGTTTTTTTTTTTTTTCACAACTCTGAATGTATTCATTAGGTTTTTTAGGAGTTAAAATACATTCGAAGTCTGCATAAATAACAATTGGTATCCTTTTAGTATTTTTATAATTTTTAAAATAAATAAATTCATCATCTCCCTCTTCAAACATTATAGGTCTCCCTAATTGGTTCTTTCTACAATTATGCTGATGTTCAATCAATCCTTTCATGCCCCAAAGTTTGCTCTTACATGGATTATTCCCGAAAGTAGTAAAACATCTTTTACAGATAATTAGCTTGGAACAGTTTTTAGTTTTCTGACTTCTAACGAATCTTGAAAAATTTTTTATATAACAGTAATGCGATGTTTCATCATTATTAAACAAAAATAGATCAAAATGTTTTTTTTTTCAATATCACATATATACAGAGGAAAAATATGATCTTTATCATTTAAACTATAAAGATTAATTGATACATCGTTTACACGTTCAAATTTTTTCATCTGACTGATGGGTGTTGGAAAATCAATACATTTAAAATCTAAACCACTTTTTTTTTCTAACATTTTAAAATATTTTTTATTTAAATAAGTTTTATTCGAACGATTATCGAATTTAGATAGTATTGAATATTTAAAACATTTATCATCGTTATTTTTTACATTTATAATTGCTTTTTTATCTTTCATAAATTCAGGTAGATCTATATACGTTCCTCCCCTGAGAGGATTCACTATATTAATTCTCAATTGTAATACATCTATAGTCTTAAGGGACCACCCAGATCCTTTCGCTAAAAACTGGTCTTGCTCGGATAATAATTTATCGAACATCCTATTTAATAATTTATTGAAATCGGATGAATTACATGCAAGTGTATTAGAAGTTTTGAATGCTATGTCCTGAACTTCTTGAGTAATTATTCGTTCGTATACACTATCCACATGTAAATTAAATTTTATAGATGATTGTAAACATGATTGTTTTAACTTTAAAATTAATTTATCTCTAACATAGTTAAAAAAAAGCATATAGTCTATAAAATCTAAAGTATTCTTAATCACAAATGTTTTCGAACATTTTTTAAACCTTTCAATTTCAAATAAACCTTCATCAGAAGATGTCATCCGCTGACGTTTTGTAACCGTTTTTCTTTTCATTGTGAAACTGAAAATAGATTAAATAAAAACATGGTGTTACGACACATCGTAACGACATTATCGTCCGCGTCGCAGCGACCAAAGGTCCACGACTGAACCCCCGCAAGCTCCGCGTGCCCGTGCGGAAATCGGTGTTATCTGCTTTCCTCTCCGAGCAATGCGCCATTAAAAATTATTACTCCTATCTATTATTCCGTCTTATTATCATTATTTAAATTAATTATTATGTACAATTGATATCGTTGAAAATGATATCAATTTCACTATTGTTTTTTGCCGTATCATTCGGATCGTTGTTGTCGTAAACTCGTACCTACTCGTTCGTTCGTCTCGTCGTATATTATATACACGAGACGTTATATTCTTCCTGTACCATAAAACTAAATAAAATCTTTGTTCACGCCATTGCGGCAACTTCAAATCATCTACCTTTTTTTGTTATTAAATCATCGCCCGTCGTTGACATTGCGTCAACGTCAAACGACAACATATCGGCACACTTCGTGCTGGTCATTGGCAACCGCAGTCGATCGAGTAAGTAGGTACATCACACATATTATTACGTCGTTCCTGCCAGTCTTCGTGGGGAATCCAATCTCTTGCCCGAGTTCGGGACTGGTGCCAGAGTCAAGCGCGTAAGTCCGCCAGCAACCCAGTGCGTTGTGTGAGTGGCCGCTCCAGGTCGTCGGATTGCAGTGCTCACCGGACCGGACCTTCAGCTGCCGTAGTTTTTAAGTAGTTTTAAGTTCAGCCTAAATTGTAATTGCGCCCTGTGGTCATTGCACCAGACCGATCAGACCACAGGGACCCCGGCCCCATACTTAAACTGTACCATCCTTAATTCCGTTGTACCACTTCCTTCCATTCGTTCCTCGTATTGTCTGCCGCCGCGAGGTTTCGTCACGGGCATCTTAGGTTGCCTATGCACTGAAGCCAGGGGCACATTAAGTTGCCTATACACCATACATCTAGGGGCATTTTTCACTTAAAAAAAAGTCTCATCGTCGACTGAGGTCGACTGGTCCTTCACCGAACACCCTCCATCTTCTCATACACATGGGTATAAGCAATAATAATAATATTGAAACAATTTATTATAACATCAACTTCTTTTTAAAAAAAAAAAATCTTATGCAAGCAATTTAGAATATTTTTTTTTTTTTTTTTATAAATATGATAATAGTATTAATTCTAAATTATTATAAAAAATTGATTAATACAATAAGAAATTACTCAGATTCTAATTCTCTTAACCGATTGCTTAGTTCTGTTAACCGATACTGAAGATCTGCTTTACATTCACTTGAATAGTTTTGGAATCTATTATGTTCATTTATCAACTCAATTTTTAAATTTAAATGTTTCTTCATACTATTATTAATTTTTACAATTACTTTTCGAAATGCTTTCTGTTTCTCGTTACAATAGCGTCTATTTGCACGCACCTGTTGTTCTACTGCTAGAATTCTGCTTTTAATAATGTTTATTTCTGAGCTCATGATTCTGAAAATTACATAGAATTTCAAAACTAACTGTACATTGTTTATACGCTCATTATGTTAGAAAATTGATACGTTTTTTTTAATCTAAATTTTTATTAAATTAGTTTTATTTGTACGATTATAAAAATTGAACAGTATTAAACATTAAAAACATTTATTATCCTTCGTTAGATATTATATACACAAAATGATATAGGTTATAATTTACTACAATATCATTCGATATATAATTATAAGATAAAATAATAAATAATAACAAAAATAATTTATTTATATTAATTTTTATTTTTCGAAAAACAGAATATTATCAGTAAATATATTATTATATACTGTCTAATTGTTCATACAAATCGCTGAGCCCTCTTTGAATACTTTTTTCGCAAAGAAAGTCAATGAATAATGAACTCTTATATTCATGTAATATTTTTTGTTTTTCTTCTATTAATTTATTTTTAGTTGTTTTTAAACTTGCTTTCGCTATTTTCATATTAATACAATCCAGATTTTTCCTAAAATTGAATTTGGCTATTCTCATGCCTTGTTCGTTTTCCTTGCGTTGTTTCAAGACGGCGTTGATTTTTCCAGTTATTAGTGATGACTCCATTTTTTTTTATTCTAGAAAAATGAATATAATTTGTAAACTAACTACTAGTTATAAAATAATGTATATTAATGTCCAAAATTCATTATTTTATTTTATATTTAACTTTTTATATAAGAAAATATTACATGTTAATCATAATTTATTGATATTTCTTAAGGACTAAAGTTCTCCTTAGAAAAATATTGCTCGGTTAACTCTTTTTTTACAACATATTTCCATGTTATGACCACTCTTTCTGCTAATTTGCCTACGACTCCACCTCTGCTTCTTAATTTGTTGACTACTCGACCAATTTCAGTGGCTTCTAAAAGTTCCATAGTCATCGGAAGTTTCAAAAGTTTGCATAAACATTCATATATTTGTTTGTTGTCGCAGATCTCAACAGCTCTTGTGATTTTTCTGGCATAGTGATTAATCACTCTGACTGACCTATATATTTATATATCTATTATATAAAAATAAGTCCGGTTTTCCTCCCTGACGCTATAACTCGAGAACGCACGAACCGATTTCCACGGTTTTGCATTCTTTGGAAAGGTCTTGGGCTCCGTGAGGTTTATAGCAAAGAAAATTCTGGAAAATTCAGGAAAAATTCAACAGAAAAGTGGGGAAATCGTTTTTCACATACAGCGCCATCTATTATACATAGCATGTACTTCAAACCAATAGCAACGGTGCGTGATAAAGTGTTTGACGGATAGTCCTGATCCAGTCACTGATCCCCGTCTACACGACATTGTGACGACACAGATGGTGCATGGACCGTGCGGTGCATTAAATCCATTATCGCCTTGCATGGCTGATGGAAAGTGCACAAAACGATATCCGCGACCGTTAGTTGCTGAAACAGTCACAGGGAACGATGGATATCCAGTTTATCGTCGGCGTTCAAAAGAAGATAACGGTCGAACTATCAAAGTTAAAGTTCAAAATCAAGAGATTGAGATCGTAAATGAATTCATTGTACCATATTGCCCGCTGCTATCACGAATTTTCGAAACACATGCAAACGTTGAGAGTTGTCATTCGGCCAAATCAATCAAATATTTGTGCAAGTACGTCACAAAAGGCAGCGACATGGCTGTGTTTGGTATTGCGTCGGAAAATGTGAATGACGAAATCAGCAACTTCCAAATGGGCAGATACGTCAGTACTAATGAAGCACTGTGGCGATTATTGTCATTTCAAATTCATGAAAGATATCCCACAGTTGTACATTTAGCAGTGCATTTGGAAAATGGCCAAAGAGTTTACTTCACTGAGGCTAATGCGGCACAACGAGCTGAGAGACCACCATCGACAACATTGACTAGCTTCTTTGCAATGTGTGAATCAGATCCATTCGCAGCGACGCTGATGTACGTTGAAATGCCCAAGTATTACACTTGGAATCAATCAACAAAGAAATTCCAACGTCGGAAACAAGGAACCCCAGTTCCAGACTGGCCACAGGTGTTTTCAACTGATGCACTAGGTCGTATGTACACTGTTCATCCTAGAAACGATGAATGTTTTTATTTGCGACTGCTGTTAGTAAATGTACGTGGACCGAAATCATTTGCGCATTTGAAAACTGTGAATGGCCACCAATGCCAAACATATCGAGAAGCATGTCAACTATTGGGTTTGCTGGAGAACGATTCTCATTGGGATTTAACACTTGCAGATTCAGTTGTTTCATCAAATGCGTACCAAATACGAACGCTGTTCGCAATTATCATCACCACATGTTTTCCTTCACAACCAATTCAGTTATGGAACAAATACAAAGACGCCATATGTGAAGATATCTTGCATCGCTTGCGTATTCAAACGAATAATCCTGACATCCAAATAACCGATGAAATCTACAATGAAGGATTGATTCTGATTGAGGATCAATGCTTGACTATTGCAAACAAGCTACTGATTGAAGTAGGAATGATTGCGCCAAATCGATCGATGCACGATGCATTCAACCAAGAATTAAATCGAGAGCTGCAATACAATGTTGATACATTGCAGGAATTCGTTAGAAATAATGTTCCGTTGCTGAATGAACAGCAAAAACAAGTATACAAAACATTAATGCAAGCGGTGGACAATAATACCGGTGGTCTATTCTTCCTGGATGCACCTGGAGGAACAGGGAAAACATTTGTCATTTCATTGATTTTGGCCACTATTCGATCAAGATGTGACATAGCTTTGGCGTTAGCATCATCTGGAATTGCGGCGACTCTTCTAGATTATAAGAATTATGCTTGGTTAAGTCAACGAGCAATTCTTGCAGCAAAGAATAATGATGTCCACGCACTGAATTTCACCATTCAATCAAAAATTGCTGGCGATTTGGTGACATACAAATCCGTTGATTCAATAACAAATCCCGATGATGTAGTAAATTATCCAACGGAGTTTTTGAACTCTCTGGAGATACCAGGATTTCCACCACATAACTTGCAACTGAAAGTTGGTACAGTTATTTTGATACTGCGTAATTTGAATCCACCGCGACTTTGCAACGGTACTCGACTTTCGGTAAAGAGACTTATGCCGAATTTAATTGAGGCAACCATTATTAACGGAAAGTACGCAGGTGAAAATGTATGTATTCCTCGAATACCAATGATTCCGACTGATCTTCCGTTTGACTTCAAACGATTGCAATTCCCAGTTTGTTCTACTTAAATAAATATTATATTTGAGGTTTCTAATTTTTTTTTCAAGATTTTTATATTCGTATCTCTCTTTAATTTTATTTTCATCAATTATCTTCGTTAATATTACAATCTGTTCTTCATAATATTGAATTTGTTCACAACAATAATCATATGTATACCAAAAATTCATTATCTGTAATTTACCAGAATACATTAGTATAAAAAAATATAATATATAAATCTAAAATTAAATACAGATAGTAAACATTATTGAATATTTTTTAAATTAAAACATTTTTATGTAAAATAATATTATACGTATAATACAACCATGAAGATTAGAGAGCTCCTGGTGGCAGAATAACCGTGCGACTTATTTGACAGGCCGCTTTATAAACGAGCGGCTATAGGAGTTTGTTCTCCTTATCAGCTCTAATCTTCATGAATACAACTATCGCATTATCAAAACCAAATATTTATAATCAGCGAAAGTATTTCAACGTTGATAAACTATAGATAACCGTAATAGCGTTTTTCCATCTGACTGTACTAGTACACACTACACGTGAACACTGATTCCATAATCACATAATTGACCACACCGTTGAAATTCACGGTATCGGGCAGTGTACACCAGTGTGTACTAGTGCAGTCAGATTTTGAGGTTAAGTTACAATAATTATCAATAATAAGCATGAACTAAGATAATATATCTTAGTTCGTGATAATATGGAACTCTTAAAACCTCAAAAAAAATTAAACACTTTATCCATGGCTGATAAGCCCGATGTTTTATCTTATCTATGTAAATCTATGATACATTGATACAGCAGTTTTCTATATCGCGGAGTGTGGTCATACAGTCACATAATTATAACGTATTATTTATTTTATTTAAACACTAGCTCTAAGTATAACTCGGGGCCCGTTGGAATCGCTGAGAGTGGGTACCGATTTTGGAGACAATGAATTATAAAAGTCGCAAAGGTTGTAAGACGAAAATTTAGGATTTGTGATAAGGATTAGTGATATGGATTGGAGATAAGGCTAGACGCTTTGGCGGGAATGTTAAAAGTTTGAGTGTCTAGCAATCCGCCACAAACGTTGTAAATGGATAGGCTGGATACGATCTCCAGGATCACCTATATAGAGTATACCTGCACATAGAGTGGTATGTGCCGTAGCATGACTGGTGCTTTATCTTATGTAAAAAGTGTAAAGTCGAAAACCATGTTGGAGTTTCTAGCAAGTCAGTCATCTCAAGTCAAAATCTATTAACTTTCAAGTTAGCCACTTAGGTAGGCAATCCGACTTCGTCAGATCGCGGACTATGTGCTACAGCAAATCAGGTAGGCAATCCACCTGCGGTGGATTGCAGACCCGACATCAAGCGTGAAGCGGCTATAAGTGAAAACCCTATCACACAACTTACGAAATAATTTACGAAAAATTCAAACTATATTATACATACAAACAAATATGATATGTATTTATTGTGTGATATAATATAACAATGAACATTTTGAGAAATGTGCAATTATAATTCCTAAAAAATATTAACATATTGGTAGATAGTTAGATACATACTATTATATTAACCAATACATATAAACATGTACCTATAGGCTATAGTGTATATATATTAATTTAAAAAAAAATTGCAAAAACCTGCATGTTATTTGTTAAAGTGTCTATCAAGTCAATCATCACCGTTTAAGACGAAACTAAAATGAGCAACCCGTCTATCACCTATATATAGTAGGTATATCACATAGAGTGGTATGTGCCGTAGCATGACTGGTGCTTTATCTTATGTAAAAAGTGTAAAGTCAAAAACCGTGTTGGAGTGTCTAGCAAGTCAGTCATCTCAACTCTCAAGTCAAAATCAAGATTAACTTTCAAGTTAGCCACCTAGGTAGGCAAACCGAAATAAAATACAAACTATATTTATATAACAATCATGGACATTTTAAAAAATATGCAATTTTAATAATTCCTAATAAAACAAATATAATATGTACCTATTTATTGTGTGATATAAAATGATAATGACTTTAAATAATAATAATGTACGATATGTTCCTGTATTATTATATTATTATTTAATTTATATGAAAAATAACGTGAAAAAAAAATGCAAAAAAAGTCGGGATTCAGGCGGCCGTGTAAACCATATGCCATTAACGGTCTCAATGCCCAGACGGCGTACGACGGATTTGAACCCGGGACCTACGTGTTTCCTACCTAACGCCTAACCTACTCGGACACAGTTTGAGATATGAAGGACAGTGAAAACATCAACAATTAAGCCGTGCGTCTACGGAGCGAAGTAAACCGATATATTCGATGTACATCGAT